GGCCCTCTTCCGCGGGTGGCCGGGCGCAGCAGGAGCCGCGGGCTCGCGCTTGCGCTTGTCAGAGCTGACCAAAACGAACTCGCGGCGCGCACGCTCCACGGCCACGTCCGCGCCGCCTGCGGCCTCGTCCCAGGCGCCGTACTTGAGGTACTCTGCCGGCTCAGCCACCTTGCCGCGCGTGGCCAGCTGCCAGGCCTGGTAGCTGCTGACTGGGTCCAGTTCGGCCACCCTGCGTCCGGCTGTGCCGCCCCGCGCGTCGCCCCGGCCCGCGGGCCGCAGGCTTAGGCACTGAAGGAAACGCTGCTGCGCGTCCGTGGGACCTGGCTCCGTGCTCTGGGTGCGCCCCGCCTCCGCGCGCCGGTGTACCGCGTTGTGCACGCTCAAGCTGTCCAGGTTTGTAAACAGGTTCCCGCACTTGGTGCAAACCTCGTAGAGGGACAGGCCGGTGACGATGGTCTCCTCCTGCACCACGTTGTTGATGGTAGCGATGGGGTCCAGCTCGCTCCGCGGCCTATTCTTGCTAGCTGCTTTGGGGCCATGTGCCTTCATGTGGTTCTTGAGGAACCAGGGTTCCTTGAAACGACGGCCGCAGATGTGGCAGCCATGGTCAAAGGAGCCGCGGTGCTTCTTCATGTGCGCCTTCAGGAACCAGGTCTGGCTAAAGGCCTGGCCGCACACCTCGCATGGGAACTCCCCGGCCGGCAGCTCGCTCCTGCCGTTCTCCACAGCCGCCTCGGCGCTCCCACCGTTAGGCACCTGCGCAGTAATGTGGTCCTTCTCGATGTGGCTCAACAGCGACTCCTCGCGCAAAGTCATGTAGCTGCAGAGCCGGCACTTGAAGGGCTTGTGGGCCTGCTGCAGGTGCTGCTCCAGGCCCCGCTTGCGCTCGAAGGCGCTCTTGCAGAAGGGGCACTGGGAGACCACAGTGCAGGCCGGGCCTTCCTCGCCGCCACCCCCAGCCGCGTCCGCTTCCTTGCGGCTGCTCCTCAGCAGGATCTTGCCGCCGTCCCCCGGCGAGGCCCCGTTCAGGATCTTGTTACAGGCAGAGGTGCTCTTCGTGGGGCTGGTGCAGCCGTCCAGGCCCTCAGACACCCGCAGCTCACCTAGTGGGGCCTCGCTCACCTCTGGCTCGTGTCCCTGCACCAGGGTCCCCGTCCGGTGGCTCCGAATGTGAATCTTGAGGTTGCCCTTCTGGGAGGCCCTGTGGTCACAGTAGGGGCACTTGTATGGCTTTTCCCCAGTGTGCTTGCGCATGTGCTGCGACAGGGAGCTCTGGAAGGGGAAGCTCTTGCCGCAGATGCAGCAGCTGTGGCACACCGTCTTGTCCCCATCCAGTTCGGGGCCACGCCGCAGCTCCATCTCCACATCTCTGTTCCGATCCATCTGGTCGGCTATAAGGGCATGAGCTGGATCAGGAGAGGGCAGGTCTGTCCACGGCGGGTGAGAACTTCCTCAGGCACTCCTACAGGAACCGGCCCTATCTCTCCATTTTCAGACAAGGCTTTGCTTCCCAGCTGCCAGAGGGGTGCCTGCTGTGGCTGCGTTCCAGCATATTCTAAGCTGAAAGCATGGCCGATGGCAATGAGCACCTGGAAGACAGGACACAAAAGTCAGATGAGCATAGCTTCCACACCAACGAGGACATGACACCACATAGGGACAGGGAGCCATCCTGGCCTCTTACAAACTCTGTCCCATCTTAGTCATGACAAGAAGTGACATTCTAACATACACTATGACATGGACAAATCTCGAAAGCATCATGCTGAGTGAAATAAGGCAGACATAGTAGAGCAAATATTGCACAATCCCATTTATACAAAATATCTATGCAATGGTTAGTTTTATGTGTCAGCTTGGCTAGGCCCTGGTTCCCAGTGATTTGGCCAAACACTCGTCTAGCTGCTATTCCATAATGTAATGTAATGTAATGTAATCACATTCCATAGTGCAATCTAATGTGATGTGATCTATCAGCTGAAAAGAGAGTTTCCATACAGTGTGTTCTTGCTCCAGACATAAATAAGACATTTTGGCAGAACTCTCACTCTCCTCATCATCTGCCCTACGGACGTTGGACTTGCCAGCCCCCACAACTGCATGAGCCATCTCCTTAAAAGTAAATCAATCTCAGGATCTCTGTATCTATCCATCTATCACTGGTTCTGTTTCCCTAGAGAATGCTAAGGCAGTCTAGAGTAGGAAAATGCAGAGAAAGTAGATTAGTAGTTACCTGGGGCAGGTTGGAGGGAGTTAAGTGGTAGTTACTGCGTAAGGGATACTAAATTTCTGTTAAAGGTGATGAAAAAGTTTTGAAATGGATGTAGTGATGGTTGCTCATGGTGAACGTAATCAGTGCCACTTTATACTTAAAAATGGTTACAATGGTAAATTTTATGTCATATATGTCCTGTGGGTATATATATATATAATACAAATTAAAGAAACAAGACACCAACACTTCAAATAAATAAGTAGCTGGTTTTTTTAAATCAATAATTTAAAAATTAATTATTGATGATTAAATATTTGCATGCTAAATAACTGTAAATGTGTACTAAAATTTTTCAACCAAAAAGATCATTAGGGAAATGCTGTGGGGGTAGAGTCTGTGGGAGTGTGAGGCACATACTCCATACAGGCCACAGGATCGGGGGCATACACGGGAAAAGGGACAGGCAGAAACTAAGCTGGGAGGAGGACTTAGACGAGTCAGAAAGACATGTCCTAGCAGAGGCAGGACTCGTGGTCCAAGGAAACGTGCTGCAAAGGCACTTCACAAGTGTTACAGGCATTTACAGATAAGTTCCAGTGTCTACATAGTAAGAAGATGCGACTTCAATAAGAGCACAGATTGTTTAACAAAGGAGAGGCAGCACAGCGCACGGAGGAAAGAGCCGAGTCCATGAGTCCCCATGGAAGGCCTGTTGTGAACTGGTCGCTACACACTTGGGGGGGGGGTCCTCGGCCTCTGTGGGCAGAAGCTTTCCTCATGCTGGCTCTTCCAAGTACAAGTGACCCTGAGACACACAGAGACACAACGTGCCTGGTCTTAGCTCATCATGTCCTCTCCGATAAAGCCCAGACTCCCTAGCTGGCCTACAATGTCCTTGCCATCTGGTTGCCCCCTGCCCCCACAGGTGCCCTCAGCGCTACCCCTCTTCTCAGTCCTAACCCTGATACAGAGGTACCTCCACCACCCGTGAGCCCTTCCTTCCCCCCAAAATGCTAAATTTGTGTAATACATTAAAGTATGAATGGAACATACTGTTTAAAGTTAACTTAGTGACTTAATCCGAGTATAAAATCTTAAGTTTAAAGAACCATACAGAAATAAGTTTACAGGAAAAAAAAAAACAACAATAACTAAAACTCTCAACCCTGAAGCCCTGGAAGTTAGTGGTTCCAGGGGTATTTTGCAGATGCCACTGGACTCCCAGTTTGTTTTACAAAAGATGTTACGCGAAGAGACAATTCTCAAATTCGAGTTACTACACAAAGCCAACCTTATCAGCTGAAAGACAAGATCCAGAGAGTAAAAGCACTCGACTAATTAAGGATCATAAGAGGAACCCACAAATTCACCTTGAATCACCACTGATCATTTCAAGGGAGGAGACTTGAACAGGTCATTAAAAGCTCTAGGGCTAGACTGTTTCTTCCTCCTGAGCTGCTGTTGTTGTGTGGTGACAAGTCAATTTCGACTCATAGCGACCCCATATGACAGAGTAAAGCTGCCACATAGGGTTTTCTTGGCTGTAACATCTTTATGGGAGCAAATCACCAGGTTTTTCTCCTGAGGAGCTGCTGGGTAGGTTCAAACCGCCAACTTTTCAGTTAGCACCACCAGGGCTCCTTTAACTCCTGCGCTATACCCTGGTATTTTCAGATCTCCCAGGTGCCATCTAAGAGCAAATACTTTCCAAAGCAGAGAGGACAGCGACTCCCAGACCCAGCTCCATTCCACTGAAGCCAGACTGGGGGTCTCCGAAGCACAGTGGATGGAAAGGGTGAAATGTGGGAACCAGGAGAGCCAGCCTCAGTCCCCCGGTCCTCCCTCACTAACCAGACGTGTCTAATCGCATTCCTTCATGCCCTACACTCCAGCCTCCTCGTTCTAAAGTGGATGGGGGATTCTGAGGGGCCCGTGGAAGCTGTGGGTCCCCAAATCCTCTTCTAACAGGAAGTTGTTTTCTGCCCCTCATTTCCTCATTTGCAAAAATGGGAATAATTCTCTTATCCTACAGGCCTCACTGGGGACAGTGGTGGTTCGGTGATAGAATTCTCACCTTCCATGCAGGAAACCCAGGTTCCGTTCCCTGCTAACACGCCTCATGCCAGCCACCGCCCATCCAGGGTGGAGGCTTGCGTGTTGCTATGATGCTGAACAAATTTCAGCAGAGCTTCCAGACTAAGGAAAAAAGGCCTGGCGATCTACTTCCAAACATCAGCCAACGAAAACCCTATGGAGCACAATGGTCCCATCAACAATCATGGAGATGGCACAGGACTAGGCAGCTAGGCAGCATTTCGCTCCGTTGTGCACGGGGTCGCCATGCGTCAGGGGCCGACTGAACAGCAGCAAACCACAACAGGCCTCTCAGGCCTACGTGAGGTCAAAGGGGTGATTATACATGAAACACTGTGGAAAGTGCCGCTCTTCCCAGAGGGGGCATCGCTCCACGATCTGTGAGAACAGGGTCCCCTGCGACACGGCTCGTGGCTGAGTGACCTCCGCGTGAACATGCCGTGTTAAGTCCAACGGCACGCGCGGCACCGTTCCCCTGCCTTCCAGGAGGGGGCCCAGAAGCCTCTGTGCACTTAGAAGGCTGGGCCTGCTCATCCCAGCTTCCGCAGAAATCCACTCCCATCTCCTCAGAACCGTCCTGATGTTCAAGTTTCACAGTCTCCAACAACCCCCACCCCCAAGCCAAAGACCAGACACGTCCCTCAAAGGGCCTGAAGACTGGAGAATGTAGCTTTCATTTCTTACCATGCTGCCCTCCAAACTAGTTTCAAGGCTTCATCCAAAAGCTAGCTGGGCCCTGCCATTTACAGGGAAATCCTCAAGTGAGGGCATTACCACCACCCCCAGTGACCAGCCAAACAAAGCTCCTCTTTCTCTTTTGTTTTCCTTCTCTGCTCGGCTCACCCCCATCTTTCAAAAATAAGCCCTGCTAAGTCCCTGGGAGAACTGCATGGTAAGTGTTTTTAGTTAAGAACTCAAGAAAATATTTTGAAGGGAAAAATATATAAATGTGGAAGTGGAAAAAGTGCTGTAACAGGAATAGCGATTTAAGCCAGAAACACCATGATCTTAAAAGAAACCATAACGTTAACAAGATTGCTTCCACTGAAAGAGTTCTATAAAGTGGTCCTTTTTCCAGAGGCCCACGCTGACGACCAGTTTCTCGAAAACCTTTGGACAAACGGTCAGAAATTAAATCCCTGCAATTGGCCCTCCTCCACGCTTCCAAATCACCCGATCGCTGTCATCGTCCCTTTTAGCTGCAGGCAGAACTACTATTTAAGACAAGCCCATCAGTTCTTCAAAAAAGAAAGAGAAGGCTGTGGTCAGAACTTCCATCTTAACTGCTCCATGGGTGGCCACCCCAATTAAGGGGCTTATGGGGAGTTCAAAAATGCTGGACTCCAAACTAACCTGCTATCCTTGAAGAAAAATCCACCAGGCCTTTGAGCCAGAAGGCTGTGGATGGTTTCTCAACACTTATTTTGGTCACTCGTGGGGGTGGCTTACCTCTGGACACCACTGGCTTTGAAAAACTATTATTACACTCTGTTCTAGTCAAATATGTTTCAGCCCCTGAGCTGCCCGTTTTACCTTTTCAGAAAAGTCAGATGGGGTCCCTGCACTCCATAAAACACATTAACTGATATAACTGACCTTGTTGTTGGGTGCTATCCAGTCAATTCCGACTCACAGTGACCCTATGTGACAGAGTAGAACTGACCCATAGGGTTTCTTTGGCTGTAATCTTTATGGAGCAGATTGCCAGGTCTTTCTCCCAAGGAGCCGCTGGGTGGGTTTGAACTACCAACCTTTTGGTTAGCAGCTGATCTCGCTTAACTCTTGCGCCACCAGGTCTCCTTATAACTAGCCTTACCAACTTGTAAACACTAGCCTGTTACCAAAACCAGACAGACTGAAGTCCTTCAGCAACAGAAGCATTAGGGGGACAAGGAGATGGCAGGAGAGTAAAGGTACTTTTTCATTTGAGCGGTGTGTCGCTCGGTACCCACACATAAAGCATGCCCAATTTGAACACGTATTTTGCCCATAATGATTCACAGTTTTGTTGTTATTGTAAGATGTATTACAAACTTTTTCCAAGGCTGAAATTGAGAACCTTCCAGACAAGACTGTAATTTAATTGTTTAGGCATAAAAATGACTTGCTGATTAGGGTTTTAAAATAGATTTCCAATGGCTCTCCTGCTGTGTGTGTGTGTGTGTGTATGCGTGCTTGTTTCTCTAGGGATCTAAGGAACGGTTTGAAGCTCCTCCTTAAAAATATATTATAATGGATATAGGGAAGAGTTGAAGTCAAAATACGGAAGTTGAAAATAAA